ACAACAGTTGGAGATAATATTTGAGGACGTCATAGAATTGCGGTTCCTTATCGGCAATTTTGATCATTTGCGTAAATTCGGTCACAGGCATGCAGGGGTAGGAGAGACGTGGCCCACTAGAATTTAGCCACGTATAATAAACACTGCCTTGAATCGTGTGCTATGTGTGAACACAGCGAGATGCCGATGAGAGATAAGGCCGTTTGATTTTTTTTGTTTTTGTTTTTTTTTTTTGGTAAATTATAAATTTTAGTGAAATAATTTTGAAAATGTTAAAATTTAATATTAATTTTGAAGGCTAGAAATAATTCAATAATTTTACCAAAAAAAGATCGTAAATAGTAAAGAGATTAGAGAATTTAAAGTTTTTATGATAATTTATCATAAATCCAAAGTTCTAAATTTAAAAAATATAAATTAAAAGTTAAGTTTTTTCAAATCAAATATATAATTTATGCTTTACTTTAAAAGGGATGTCATTTTCTTTTATTTTTATTTTCATTTATTTATTTATTTATTTGACCCATTTCCTCTAAACCACGCATTTTAATTGGGTGATTTAGATTGAGTTGTCCCCTCAATGCTATTTCATTTCCGTCCATATTTGGTATTTATTTATTATTTTTTTTTTTGTTGACTCAAAATTTTAAAATAATTTTTTTATTACAAATTTCTCAACACGCCTTTTTAACTAATTTATGTAACAGGATGTGGGGTATGCTTGCTTTCATTTTATTTTATTTTTATTTTGCTGGAAATGAAGGTTTTGTACGGACATTAAATACACGTGGCATTTGATTAAGGGACGGAAGACAATCTGAATGGAAATTCAATTAAAATAATATTTTGTGAAATTAAAAAAAAAAGGCAAAATACCAATGTAGTGACGTGGAGAGCATAATGGAGTGCCACGTATTTCTTAGATCCAAAATTTCAGAAATGAAAACCAACGATAATGAAATAAAATAAAATATTATATTTATTAAACTTAAAAATATATATAATTATAAATAGGGCTAAATAGGGCTAAGGTGGTTAATGGGCCTTGGGCCGAGCTTACCCACAACAGATGGGCTCACGTCGTAGCATGGTTTTTTTTCTTTTTTTTTTAATTAAAAAGTTTTAATAATATTCTAACCGTTGATTTTGATTAAAATCGTTACTAATTGAAATATTCTTCTACTTAATTTTTTTTATTACTATCTTTTAATTTTTTTAATAAATAAATCATCTCTCTTCAATTTAAATTTATTTACATATTTAAATGTTTAAACATTTTGGTTGGATTAAACTTGACAAATGTATAAAAAGGCTGATTCTAGGAATTAAAGAGAATTAATTAAAAACTGAACAATTTAATGAAGGTCAAATTAAATTAGGTTGAATCATGGATGTGTGGTGAAATTATTAGAGGACTGAGAAGATGACGGTGTTGGAACGTTGGATAGTGAAAAGACATTGTTGCCCTTGAAATGTCGAGGCTAAACGGGAGGAAATTTTGAAAGCACATGGAGAGGTAACCGTTGAGGAGCGCAAAGAACCACGCGACTTTTCATCAGATAGATCGGGCGGCTATCGTTCACTAGCCGTTAGATTTAAATTTTTTTGTAGCAGGACCATGTGCAGACATATATCCGCTGTTTACGATTCAATATCGCTTATTTAGTTTGGAATTCGGGTTTCGATTCTCTCTTAATTCATTCCTTTCTTTTCTTTTTCCTTCGTCTGTTCTAAAACAGCGACCAGAGAGAGAGGGATATAGACCTAGACCCCCACTTCGAGACTGCGAGAGCGGGGCGGAGAGAATCGGCAGACGGCGGAGAGAGTGGGAGAGAGATCGCTCCGGCTACTGATCGAGTTAATCCAAGTTGTTTCTCACTCGCTTCTTAGAAAATGAAAGCACCGGCTGCCTCTCATTAGCGACTGTAACCTGTTTGATCAAAAGCCTTAGAAGAAATTTTGAGAGTTCTTGATTTAAGAAGGTTGGTTTTCACGATTCACGATCTGGGTATTGTGCTTCTTGATGGATTCTTCTTCCAATTTTTTTTTTCCTACTATAGCTTGAATGAACGGTCATTCGATCTTCTTTGATTCTGAAATCTTGTGGGCATTATGATCTGTAGGTGAGGGAAATGGCTGGATCGGATGAGAACAACCCGGATGTGACCGGACGAGCAAATCTCCATGGTAAGTGAATGAGAAATGTTTTTTTTTGTTTTTTGGTCTCACAGATTTACTTAGGCATGCCGATTTGATATGAATAAATATGATCAAGGCCTGTAGTGGAAATGAATTTTTGTCTCTTGGATGAATCTTAAAGGGAGTTTACGAGTTGATGGCGGTGGCAAATTTATAGTGGGGGCGGGTCAAAACCGCAGAGCTTTGAGCAACATTAATGGCAATGTTAGAGGAGCTCCTCCTCCCCTTCATCCCTGTGCAGTCCTCAAAAGAGGCTTAACAGAGTAATTCTTTCATCTTTTTACCTGCTGCTAAGTTCCTAACAAAATTCAGGAGATTGATCTGTTTTTTTCTTGCTGTAGTCTTTTGTTTCTTTCTGTGATTCAACTAAAGATCTTATGTTTTTTAGTATTTTTATTCTTAATTTCCCAGAACTGATGCTGTTCTCAACTGTAAAGTTCCTCCCATTCCGATCCATCGACCGATTACTCGGTCAGTAATACAAGCCTTTTAATGTCTTTGTGTGTTGTGAATATACTCGCCTGCAGCTTCTTGATCTGTTCTTTTGTTGTTTGGTTTAGGAAGTTTGCAGCTCAGCTGGCCGACAAGCAGCAGCAACCTCTGCCTGAGGTTGATAGAAAGCCATTACAATCTTCTCCAACTCGAAAAGACTCAATAGATCATCACCCCATCACAGAGGAAGATGATTCTATGGACGAATCGGCAGTACCGATGTTCGTTCAACACACAAAAGCGATGTTGGATGAAATTGACAAAATGGTAAGGATTTGGAAGCCTTCTCTTTTTTTATTACAATCCTTCTAATTCTTTCCTTGAAATTCCGTTGATGTGATGCATTTTCCACAGGAAGAGGTGGAAATGGAAGATATAGAAGAAGAGCCAGTCATGGACATAGACAGCTGCGATAAGAAGAACCAGCTAGCTGTTGTGGAATACATTGATGACTTGTATGCTTGCTACAGGAGAGCCGAGGTAAGAGTTTCTCAGATCAGACACACTCCATGTCTGAAACATAAACCTCGTGTTCTTGTTTTTGTTCTTGTTCTTTTATGTCTTTGTGTCAGATTAAGATGTTCCTCCCTGCAGGTTTCTGGCTGTGTCCCACCAAACTACATGGCTCAGCAAGCAGATATTAACGAGAGGATGAGAGGGATTCTCATTGACTGGCTAATTGAGGTATATTAGTATTATTCTAATCATCACTTATCCAGGCTTGATTTAATAGTAATTTAACTAAACATCATAGATAAGGAATTAACAAAACTTATGATGATGATTATTACTACAAGGTACACTACAAGTTTGAGCTGATGGAGGAGACATTGTACCTCACAATCAACCTGATCGATAGATTCTTGGCGGTTCAGTCGGTGGTGAGGAAGAAGCTCCAGCTTGTTGGAGTGACGGCGATGCTTATTGCCTGCAAGTACGAGGAGGTTTCTGTTCCTATTGTGGATGATCTTATTCTCATATCTGACAAGGCCTACAGCCGAAAAGAAATTTTGGACATGGTCGGTTTTCTTTGTTCTTTTGCTAATGTCTTGGAACATTTGGGTACGAGGATGTTGTTAGAGGATATGTTTTTTTAATGGCTTTGCAGGAGAAGCTGATGGTAAACACCTTACAGTTCAATCTGTCTGTTCCAACACTTTATGTGTTCATGAGAAGGTTTCTCAAAGCTGCCCAATCTGATAGAGAGGTGAATAAAACTTAATCCCAATTGCTTAACTAACGCACTGATAAAGACCAGAACTGAGGTTGAATTTTGAATGTGTTTGATATTACCAGCTGGAGCTGCTGTCATTCTTCATGGTGGAGCTCTGTCTAGTGGAATATGAAATGCTGAAGTATAAACCTTCATTAATGGCTGCTGCTGCGGTCTTCACTGCTCAATGCACCATCAATGGCTTCAAGGAATGGAGCAAAACCAGTGAGTGGCACACTGGGTATTCTCAGGAGCAGCTTCTGTAAGTAGATAATCTCTTTCTCTTTCTCTATATGCTATTTATTATTATGTTTCTTATTAGAATAGAACATGTTTTATTGTGTGTTTACAGGGAATGTTCACGTTTGATGGTGGAGTTTCACGAGAAAGCAGGGACAGGAAAATTGACGGGAGTTCACAGGAAGTATAGCACATCCAAGTTCGGATATGCTGCAAGAAGTGAACCAGCAAGCTTTCTGTTGGAAGAAGAAAGGCCATAGCTTTCTGGATCTTTGTTGTGTGCAATCATATAAGAGAAGCAGGCAATGTTTTCTTTGGGGGGTTGGGGGGAAAATGTGACGTTGTGTTGTTGTGTTGTTATGTGTAGAAAGAAAGAAAGCAACAAAAGTTGCCCCTGCCTTCTCTTTCTTCTGAATCTCGTTCTAATTTGAACCAAAGAATCCAACTTTTTTCTTTTTTTCTTTTCTTTTTTAAATTAAGCTGGAATTGTGGACGATTCTCATTCATTCCCTTGTGTGTGTTGGCTGGGAAATGTTATGAAAGTTTTTGTATGTTTGTTATTCTCTTTTACATCACATATGAATGGACATACCTTCAAATTGAAATTTTGGTGCATTTTACACACACATTTGATTGTATAACTCCACATATTGTTAAAATTCATCAAACTATTTCGTTCGTAACCGAGTTTTTTCACCACGTGCTTTCCATGGCATTAACCGGTTTCTTAGATTTTGGACTTCCTTGTCTCATAGTCAGCAGCCCCATGAAATACAGAGCAAAAGATTAGAAGAGTAGAATTGTGATAGCACAAAGACATGGATAGCACAAAAACTTTTTGCTTCAGAATTTGTGATACTCTTACAGTGTTATCTATTGAAAGATGCAAATGAACGTTCGGATACTACATACATATAACAAAGATGATATGGGGTAATGAATTGTTCAATCTTAACATAAAATGGGCTGAAGCAAAAAGTTTCTAATGAAGTTGAAGGTTATGGTCATCAATAGCCCACTTTCTCAACAAAATGGAATAACGCGTATTTCTTCAGTGTGTGGGATGTCAATCTGATGGTCAACATTCCAATGGCAATCGAGGCTTGAACCGAGGACATTACAACCTGTATTCATGGTTTCATCACCTTCGGGCAGATGGCACCGCACCCCGACCAGTTGCACCTCCACGCCCAGCAGCTTGAGCCTACAGAAAACAGAGTTCACCGCAGTGTTAATTATTGGAAATCTGTAAATGTACACAATAATTTGTGAAGCACTCTACTTGTTTTCCCTCATAATTTGAGAATTACAAAGTTCGTAGTGCCATAAAATATTCACTAATATCTTCCAAGGGATGAATCAGAAACCTGTCAACTAAAGTAAATCCTATACTTCTTGCACACAAGCAGCCATCATATCCTTCTCTCATACATGGGAAAAATGCACACAAGCATGTATGCGGATGTTCGTACTGATTATAAACATATTTCATGGAATAAATTATCACCATACTAAAATTAAGATCCAATGGGGCCTACCTTAGCTCGCATAGCAACAGCCCTGCCCCTTCCAACACCAAGTGAGGCACCCTTACCCTTCAAGATCCAGAAAGCATGGGTTAGGAGAGAAAGAAAGCAAGCAAGGATTCCATCAGAATTAAAATTCATAGAAATTAAGTTGAAAGACCTTAATTTTAGCATCAAGACGCTTGAACATTGGAGCATTCTTCAGCATGTCTGGTATGACCATGAACCTATTATGCATTAATAGATGTCAGCATGCCAACCAAATCCTTAAAAAACCCCATGGAATAAGAACTAAGAAAGTGATTGGATAGTCTATAATACAAGAGACAGTACAGATACCTGACTTTGCTTCCTCTGATGAAAACATGCTCAAGCTGAGAGACCTTCCCATCCTATAGAAGAACAAATATCAAGTGAACCTGAAGAACACGACTCTCAACCATATACATGCAAGCAAAGGGAAAAGACAATCTCAACGACATTGAACGACAACTATAACATAAGCAAAACACTAATATAGTAGACAAAGAAAATCAGTGAAACTTAATGCATTTGAAAGATTCATAGAACCATTTTCTTTCCAATTAATCTATGAATCTACAATAATTCCAATCTCTCCTATTAGATTTGGTGGTGGTGAATTGCATAGAAAGAAAGTAGCAATTAAACAGCGCACCAGCCGAGTAACCAATGTGCACAGTTAACATTTGTCCCTGGTTGATTTAATCAATCCCAATGTTGCCTTCAAGATCACAGACTTTTGGTTTTTAGAGAGAGGGAGCTAGAAATTCAACCCTAGAGATCTCCTTCTCACCCACCTACCCAGATTTGTTTCGGAGATTCAGGATGTAACGACCGAGGCCCACGCTAACAGATATTATCCTCTTTGGCATTCCCTTTCGGGCTTTCCCTCAAGGTTTTAAAAACGTGTCTGCTAGGGAGAGGTTTCCACACCCTTATAAAGAATGCTTCTTTCTCCTCCCAACCGATATGGGATCTCACACAAGATAACCAGAAGCATGGCATACATAGCAATGAAACAGACTAAGCCAAGCCTAGAAGATACGCAAGAGAAAAACCAAAGATCTGGATTACTCTCTCCTCCAAAAATGTTAAGAACCTTGTGAAAGTTTTTGTCGACTTGATTCGTCGTGGTGACAAGGACAGGAGATTGAGGGTCAGGGGACCAATAAGAATGGCCACGAAGGTTCTTCACATCACAACCAGAAAACCTTCATGAGGTGAAAGATCCAACACATGGGGCAGATTTGAGCTTCGTGCCCACTAGCGAGTTATTGACCTATTCAGCTCCGCAGATGTGGTGAAGTAGATTATCTCCAGCACCATTGAACCTGGTGTGGAGATGCAGGCGACCATTGCTGATCAATGAATACACTCTTTTCATGTTTGCCGACTTTTAGTCTCATTAGAAAGTTGATACAATTTGAGGTTCGGGACACTCCAACAAGGTCTGTGGGGTTTAAATGCAATAGTTATTCCCATTATACGTTGAAATTAACGACATTGAGAAAGTTTTCAATTCCCCAAAATTTTCTGGCGCGACAACCATGTTAATTTCATTCTTCACGCTATAAAAGCAAGAGATCACAGCGTTTGAAGTTAGAAATCCCAGGAAACTACACCAAATTAGGGTTTATACGAAGTTCAAGTATACTGAAGTGGGAAAAGCAGCAGAATGGGCGAAATGAAGTAAACCCTAAAACCAGAAAAACGTAAAAAATCGAGTAGTCTTATTATGAAGAACAACGAAAAGCAACAAAGAGTGGCGTACCTTAGCAGTGTAGGTGATGTTTTCGAGTTGACAGTTCCAGTTATCCTCACACTCGATCATACTTCCTCTGTAAAGCTCACCGCTTTTAAGCTCCACGGACACAACGTGGCCGGCGGCCTCATGGAGTAGCTTCACTGGAATTCCCAAGCTCCTGCTCATGGCTCCTCTCTGCAAATCTCAAATCTTCCTCTAAAACCCTAACGCTCTTCTCAGCTTCTCTGAGGCTTGAACTCGCGACCCGGCAAAGCCAATTATAAGGCAAACGACCTCGTTGCTGAGGGTGTTTTTCGGAGAAATTTCAGAAAAATGGACTACTTTGTTTTGAACTTTTGAAAACTAGTCCTTCTTAAAAAAGTTTTAAAATTAGACACTTGCACATGGCTACGATGTTAGAGACGAAATTACTTATATGCCCTCTTATATATGTAATATCCTTACCACTGAAATGAATCTCGACATAAAGTGAACATTTAGGAAAGCCCACAAGCCAAGTCTCACGCAATCAGGCCCACTGAAACTACCGCCACTTTTGCTCCTCGTAGTTTCGGTCTTTGGAGAGCTCGTCGCTGCGCCCAGAATCTAGAAGGGAGCGGAATCAAAGTTTCCGTCGATCACCTTGCAGTTGATTTCGCGATCGTTGACCATAGGAATTCTTTGTTGAAGAGCAATCTCTAAGCGTTTACGTGATCCGATTCATGGCGGAGCAGGAGAAAGAGAGGAATAAGTACAGTTTAATTGTCCCAACCTACAACGAGCGCCTCAATATTGCTCTTCTTGTTTACCTCATTTTCAAGCACCTCCCGTACGTATCCTTCTCTATAATTGCGATCTTACTTCATTTCTTGTTTTTGGATAATTACTTTATGAGGTAGATTTTTGCTCTACGCGTACTCGGTCAATTTTTTCGAAGCAAGTCTTCGTTTGTGTAGAACTGTAGTTCATTTAGTTGGAATTAAATCATGATTTGCTTGTAGTTCAATCTATTTAGTCTTTTTAGTGGGAAATAAACATTTCTGGAGGTTGAGGAGGATTTTCTGGTGAAATCATCTGGAGTCTTTGGGTCGAATTATTATTCTCTTTGTACAATTGTATCGATTTTGTTTAGCACAGACGAGAGTTGACAATTCCTTCATTATTATTTTTTTTTTTTTACACTACTGGGAGTCGAAATTGTAATGTATAACTTCTGCATCCTATTATCGTTCACCGTCCAGTTTTAAGAAAAGGAAATTGGAAATGACCTAGCACAATGTTTTCTTGGCGATATATTAGGGATGTTGATTTTGAAGTAATTGTCGTTGATGATGGAAGTCCTGATGGTACTCAAGAAGTTGTGAAAGAGTTGCAAGGGGTATATGGTGAAGATCGCATTGTAAGTTCACTGTGCTTGGTTTCTGTAGTTGTTGCAGCAGAGGTTACTCTTTATCTTATTTTGTTTATTATTGTTTGCAGCTATTGAGAGCCAGGCCTAGGAAGCTTGGCTTAGGTATGTAATAGAGTTTCTTCGTTGATAATAACACCGATCTTATATTGATGAATCATTAATTTCAGGAACGGCTTACTGTCACGGTCTCAAGCATGCAACTGGCAATTTTGTTGTTATAATGGATGCTGATTTATCCCACCATGTAAGTATTTCAGTAGGAGTGCAGAAAACTTCTGTCAACAACATTCTAGTGTTGGATTTGTGATTTGAAATGTTTCCATGAGTTCCATTCTGCATTATCAAATGCCCATTTCCCTGACATTATTATCTTCCTATTTTATTAATTGACATCTTTTTTTTTTTTCATATTATTTAACAAAAAAAATAGCAATAATAAGATTGAGATAAACGTCCTTGATCTTCATTTTAGGCCCCCAAAAAATATTCTAAATGGAAACTAAAGGAACTATCCAAAATTGTGGCTCTAATCTATGCTAGAACAGTAGATAATAACACTTTTAAGAATATAATAGCCGAATGTCAAATAATTGGAACAACACACGATTTTAGTTTGATTTCTTTAATAAATGGCCCTGTATAATGAGGTTTCGAGGGAAATGAGTTTTTCTTAACAATGAAAATCGAGTGACAAAAAAGTAGAATGAGTTTGTATTTCTGTATTATTTGGCTTCTATTGAAAAACTGTTGTATATTGGTACAAGAAAACCTGGCTCCCTCCAATCATATGAATGTTTCTATTTAATTATATGTTTGCCTCTGACTTGCGCTACTTGAGACATCAAATTGGCAAATGCCATCCGAACTTCTACTTTCATCTAGCATATCTTTACTTCTAAAGCTCAATTTCCAAAAAACTTCCATAAGCATGTTTGGAGTTCCAAGGGTTTAATTCCCCCTCCCTGTTGTTTTCTTATGATGCTTTCTCCATGGAATAACCTTTTCTTTTTCTTTCTTTTGTTTGGCAGCCCAAATATTTACCAAGCTTCATTCGGTAGGACAGACTTCCTTCCACTACCTCACTCCACTTCCTTAGCTCAGAGTCATAATAACTAAACTCTAGATGTTATTGACTACTTATTTAAATCCCTTTTTTTTCCCCTTTAGGAAACAGTTACAAACGGGTGCTGATATAGTTACAGGCACCCGATATGTGAAAGGTGGCGGTGTGCATGGATGGAATCTTATGCGCAAATTAACAAGTAGAGGAGCTAATGTTCTTGCCCAAACACTTTTATGGCCTGGTGTATCAGATTTAACTGGATCTTTCCGGTAATCAATTTTTTTCCTTTCAATTTATGTATCAATCGTTCAGACTTCTACAATTCTTAGTCAATGATTTATTCCTATGTGTAGGCTCTATAAGAAATCGGTGCTTGAAGATATCATTAGTTCAGTTGTTAGCAAGGGATATGTCTTTCAAATGGAGATGATTGTTCGAGCTACAAGAAAAGGCTATCACATTGAAGAGGTAGAGTTGTGCCCCGTGGCTGCGACAATCTAATTGTTGTTTTACAGTACTCTTTTCCCTTCATTTTCTCAGTTGTTAAGTGTTTGAATAGAATGTTTTTTTCAATTTTTATTTTTCTTGGCCCTTTTCCGTATAGACCGCCTAACACGGGGAAATTTGAGATGATTTGTGTATCATTGTGGCCTGCAGGTTCCAATAACCTTTGTTGATAGAGTGTTCGGAATTTCCAAGCTTGGAGGATCTGAAATAGTAGAGTATTTGAAAGGTCTGTTGTACCTTTTGGTCACCACATGATACACAAAATAGTGAAAATATATTGAGTTACTACCAGGTAAGCTTCTTGTTTGATTTCTGGTTAGGTACCCACCACCTCCAGGCTTTTGATGTAAACTTGAGATGATATTTCCTAATTAGGGGTTTTCCCGCAATTTTCCTTGCAAATCAAAACCACAACTGCGAGCTTATTTGGGTCATATGCTTGGTATTCCAGTAGGATACCTCCTTTGACTACTGGCGGGTTTTTCTTCCTTTCAACATTAAATTGTACTCGTTTAATTTACATACATTCATTGAAACTAGAATCAGATCAAAGTTTGATTAGCTTTGATGAAATCTGTTTAATTCAAATGGAGCAAGTGAATCAAATAAATGAATACTCTATAATCCAAAATCAACAATTTAATTATTGGAACGACGAGTTTAAGGACTAATGCTTTGTAATAATCAAAGTAGAACACCTAGAAATGTATGTTAACTATGAGGCTAAAGTATCAAGTTTGGTTTCTAAAAATAATAATTAAAAAAACAAGAAAAACAACTAATAACCTAACTTTCATTATATTTATGGTACTTAACTACGAGACTGTAAATTATCAAGTTTGGTTTTTAAAAGTAATAATTAAAAAAATGAGAAAAACAACTAATAACTAAACTTTCTTTATATTTATTGTACTTATAAGCCTTGAATCATATTTAAAATAATATATGTATTATACGTTTTTTTTTTTTTTAGAATATTTGAAATATAACGAAACTACAAATATTTGATACTTAAATCACCACCTCCCTAATTATTGAACAACTAGTAACAAAACTTCCATTATATTTATGGGTTAATAACAAAACTTCCATTATATTTATGGGTTATTGTTAAGTTATATTTATTTTTCTTTAAATCTTTTTTTTTTTTTTTTTAAATTACAGTTTGCAAGTTTTTTTATTTTTATTTTTTAATATTGTATTTAATATTCTTAAAAGAAAACATGTCAGAAGTTTAGAAAGAAAACTGACATGACGTTGACTGCATGTCCAGTTCTTTCTCGGCTGCTTATATAAGTTGCAGAGTGTGGAGAAGGAGACTCAACAAAGCGGCTTTGCTTCTTCCTTTCGCCTTCACACTCCCATTACCTCTCTCAACCTCCCTGCCTCGTCTGCAATTTCAATGGACGGAATGCACCGATGCTCTGCCAACTACTCTCCTCTCACTCCCATCACCTTCTTGGAGCGCTCCGCCGCCGTCTACGGTGAAAGACTTTCTCTCGTCCATGGAACTGTCCGCTACACTTGGACAGAGACGCTCGAGCGATGTACCAGGCTCGCTTCTGCCCTGGTTGACGTCGGGATCTCTCGCCGCGACGTGGTATTTATTCATTCTCAACTCTTCCATTTCCTTCATTTCTATGTATTTGTTTTCCTCTGCTCTTCGATTGTTAGTATCTGGATGTGGCTGTTTACGTAGAATCCGAAATCATGAAATTGAAGTTATTGAAGCAGATTAACAGCATTACTGATTACATTTCCTCCATCTAATTTTGTGGCGCAATACGATTCTGTCGATTAGGTTGCTGCTTTGGCACCCAACATTCCAGCGATGTACGAGCTTCATTTTGCTGTGCCAATGGCCGGCGCAGTTCTTTGCACCCTCAACATGCGCCACGATGCGGCAATGATTTGTACATTGCTGAGACATTCCGAAGCCAAAATCATTTTTGTAGACTACCAATTTCTACATATTGTAAAAGGAGCAATCGAAATTATGTCCAAGACGACGGAAGAGCTGCCTCGCGTTGTGATCATTAAAGAGTCCGATCAGCAATCCTCCTACACCAATGGATTCGACTCCAGTTCAGATGATTTAGAGTTCGAGAGGCTTTTAGGCACTGGAAAACTTGATTTCGAGATCAGACGTCCTCAAGATGAAGATGATCCAATTTCCCTGAACTATACTTCAGGCACAACATCAAGGCCAAAGGGTGTGATTTACTCCCATAGAGGTGCTTATCTCAATACTCTGTCCACAATCCTCATAAACAATATGTGCTCGACGCCTGTGTATTTGTGGACTGTTCCAATGT